CCACCACATCTAAGGACTGATAAGCTTCGATATATATATATTTATATATATATATATATTTTTCTGGTTTAATATGATTTGCAAACAATTTTATTTTTATATATTGGCAGACGCTTAGTTCAAGGTGCAGTGGCCTTTTAAAACATTTGTTGTGGCTTAGTTGTGCGAATATATGATTGTTATAAATTGCCTTTTTTATTATTTGAAAAGAGTGTATTAAAAATATTGTATATTAACCTTTATGTGTTCATCCTTTTTAATTGCTTCATTATTTTTATTTATATTGAGATACACAAACACTTAAAGGGAAAGTACAGTGATTTACGTTATTATGACAATTTTTGACTTAAAGGAGAACTATGAGGTGAGTTAAAATCACTCAGCCTCATAGTTCGAGCCGACGTGTGACAATGAGACTGTCACAGGTCGGCTCAATAGATCGGGAAGTGAGAGAACGCATACCGTCGCTCGCTCACTTCTCAATCATCTCCCTGCAGAGAGCCGTGACTCTCAGTCACGGCTCTCTGCAGGCATTCCCCACCTCCCCACTCCGATCCTCCAGCGCTGACTGGAGGAACTGACGGGGGAGGGGGCGGGTACAGCTGGCTCAGCTTCTAGATAGGAGGAGCCAGCTGGCACTCGCGCAGCTGGGTGGATCTCGACAACATTGTCAGGATCAGTCCCGGCTGTGGTAGTCTCAGTATACAAATACGGTGACCCAAATTGTCCATAGGCGACGCTTTAAAAGCCTGTACAGGTCATAACTTTAGAATTAGCCATTAATATTGGCCCTAGAATTATTGCTCTCACTCTGTGGCATGCAGTAATACATAACATGAGTGGCACAATCATCATTTTGGCACATAGGTGCTACCAAAGCATATTTGCGTTAGTATGTGCATGTTCCTGGGGATGGGGGACTTTAAAAAAATATAATTTTTTTAATTCATTTTATTTAACATTATTTTTTTAAGCTTTTTTTTCTTTTTTTCTAAACCTAAACTCATTGCTATCCCATATGGTGTCTTACAAGCTCCCTATGTGAAAGCACATTGCAGGTGGCAGGTTCTCTTTAAGGAACAAGGGTATCCTGTGCACTCCTTACCAGACAGGCCCTAAGAAGATAGTGACCGTGGATGCCGGTGCATGAATCAGAGAAGATGTCACCATCACACCGCAGTCTTTTTTATTGATGCAAATTGTCACAAATAAAGCGCAATGTTTCGTTGCCATGCAGGGTCCTCTTCATCAGGCTCAGTATGATGACATACTGACTATGGGCCCTGGGCAAATGGCCACTTTACCCTCTGAATAAAGCAGCCCTGGTCTCTCTCCCTGCTACCCGCTGACACCCGTGATGCCTATCCCTGGCCTGCATGAAAACATCCAACAGCAGAGACCTGCTTATAATGGATGTGACAGGGCATGTGGGCAGTGGCATCACAAGGGGGGGGGTTGCGGCCCGCACACAGGTAACACCATTGGAGGGGTGACACCAAAATGACTGACAGTCATTTTGATGTCACCCCCTCTAAAAAGTCAGGCACTCGGTCATGGACCGAGAGCCAAACAGTGTCAGGAGAGAGGAGTGGACCCGTACCTCATCTCGCCGGTTGAACGTCCCCTCCTCTCTCTGCCGGCGTCCATCACCAAGATGGCCACCGGCAGGCGTCAATTAGATGGTTGCGCATGCGCGATTACATCATTGTGCATGCATGTGGTGACGTCACGTGCATGCACGATGACCTCACGGCAGGGGTGTCACCCGGTCTCCGCTCCGGGTGACACCCGGCCGTGGGACGCCCCTGGGACTGGGCACTACTTGGTGCAGAGACCTCAAAAAGTATAATATGAAATAAATTGACTTAGACCCCAAGCATCTACTTACAACCAAAATATAAACTTTGGGTCCTTTTCTATGAAATAAAAAAAACAAACAAGAGTTAACAGCCCTACCAGATTTTATTGCTGTACTGGGTAGATTTAATTTTCTTGATAGGTCCTAGTGGGCGTTTCCACAAGGACTGAAAGGGAGGAACCTTTTGAGTTCTCACTCAAATAGGAATAGAGGAGAAGTCTTTTACGAGGACACCCGTTGGGGTGAAGACCTGTATGTGTCTGTCTAAAAGAGGATTTCCTTCACTTTGAGCATATCTCCTCTTATTTCCTGTATAAAATTCATTTCAGTACAGCGCTGCATGACGGAATAAACGTCA